ATTACGCAACTTGCACACTGGACCTCTGAGATTTTTTACCCTTTTCTGAGAAGACTTGGTGTAGATCTCACCTACCATAAGATCAGGGGGCGTGGCTGAAAAACAGCAGTAAAAAGGAGCCAAGGAGTAGCAGTAGAAAGGCTGCAGAAAGAGTCAGGAGCCCAGAGGAGGGGGCAGAAAGTGGAGACGGAAGCAGACAACAGAACATGTTTTAGAGAGCAGGAAAGGAGGTTAAAGTAGAAAATTTTAGAGCAGAAAATTTTCTGTCGCTGTCAGGGTTTGAACTCAGGACCTACTGAATGAGAGGTGAACAACCTCACAAACTATGACATAACACAACCACACAGACTATAACACCACATACTGCTGTTTTATCATCACTTCTATGGATCAGTCATGGGACATGTTCTGTTGTCTGCTTCCGTCTCCACTTTCTGCCCCCTCCTCTGGGCTCCTGACTCTTTCTGCAGCCTTTCTACTGCTACTCCTTGGCTACTTTTTACTGCTGTTTTTCAGCCACGCCCCTGATCTTATGGTAGGGGAACCCGGCTTTCTGTGTTCATTGTGGTTGCTGGTTGTATGTTGTGTAATAGTCTGGGAGGTTGTATGTCAAGTAATAGTTTCGGGGCTTGTATGTGGTGTTAAAGCCTGTATGGTTGTGTTATGTCATAGTTTGTGAGGTTGTATGTGGTGTTATAGTCTGTGTGGTTGTATGGTATGTCATAGTTTGTGAGCTTGTATGTGGTGTTACAGTCTGTGTGGTTGTATGGTATGTCATAGTTTGTGAGGTTGTATGTGGTGTTACAGTCTGTGTGGTTGCGTTATGTCATAGTTTGTGAGGTTGTATGTGGTGTTATAGTCTGTGGAATTGTATGTTATGTTGTGTGGTCTGTGTGGTTGTAAGTGGGTGGTTGGTGGGTGCTCTGGTGTGGTTTGCTTCTTCTTTCCTTTCAAACATCTATCGTCATTATCTCCCCCCCCCCCTCCTGTTTTGTGCTTGTTACTGTCTTGTAACACCTCTAATCTTCTGCACTTATGTGACCTTATTGTGTTGCAAGTGCTGGGTTGTATGTGGTGATATAGTTTGTAGAGTTATATGTGGTGTTCTAGTCTGTGAGGTTGTACATTGTGTTATATCTCTTGGGGTTGTATTTTGTGCTTTGGTCAGGGGGATTCTCTGTTTGCCAGATGTGTTACTGCTGTTTGATCATCACTTCTATGGATTACTCATGGGACCTCTGATGTGATCCACTTTCACTTCTAAGGTTTATTTTTAGCTTTTTTTGCTCTTGGTACGACGTGCTGCCTCTATGTGCTGGAAGCTACCAACCCTTGTTGTTGCTAAATGGCCTTATTCATTCAATGGCTATCTATTTGTCTCTGCTTTCAGCATTATATGTGGCTGTTTATAGGATTTTGAGTTTTAGTTGAGTGCATTTTGCTTAATTGTCTCTGTTGTTTTTAATCTTTGTCTGTATCATGTTTAACATACCTGAAAATGTAATACCGTTGGACTCTTTTTCCATGTGAATAATGTGCAAGTTTTTAAAGTACTGTGTCTCACAGATAACCGAGTGAGAGGAAAGGGGTTAATGGTTGCTCATGGGAGTACTTGTCACACTTCTATCTTTTCAAATTACTGGAGAAACAACCAACAAGATAGATTAACCCAGCATCTGTGGGTGATGTTGTGGGGAATACTATTCAGAACTGATGCATTGCTCAAGCGAAATGATATGAAAACAAAGCAAATGGGTGGGGTTTTTGGAACGGGGTTCCCAATATTTTGTTGGGGGTTTTTTTAGGTTGCTTTTTTTTTTTTAAAGAATTGCAATGCACTGGATTTAGATCCCATGTTGTGTTGCTACCCATCCCCTGTTCAACAGAAGTCTGGGCTTTTTTTTTCTACCTCAGATATGGCAAAAGAGGTCGGCCCAGCAAAGTGGATCAGGCGGCTCGAGAAGCAGCAATGGCAGCCGCAGCAGCAGAGGCACTGGGGATGAGCACGCCAAAATCTGGGGCTGCCTCAGTTCCTGGGCCAGTTTCTGCTTCCGCTCCTGGAACTGCGACGGCAGCTACGGTAATTTAGGGACGGGCGTTGGTAGCTTATTGTTGCAGCGATTGATGACGAAGAAAGAATTTCTAACAATGTGTCTTCCGTTCAGTTGAACTCGGTCAATGCTGTGGTTGGTTGGAGGGTGCGCCAGTTGATCCTACTTCTTTTCTTTCCCACTGACGTTTCTGTGTGTCTGTCTGTCTGTCTCTCTCTCTGTCTAAGATCAGGGTGTCCAGCAAGTCGTAAAGTCGTAAATTCACACCCTGGTGGTAAAGGTCGTAAATGGTAGAAAATGTGCCGTGACGGTAGTAAGCAGTCATTATTTAACCTGCATACAGAGTAATGAACCCCGCGAGACTTTTCAGTGAACAGAGTCATAACTGCGATACTCAGTGATTACCAAGTCCAGAAACCTGTCCCACACAACCACCAAATCTCGCACTGTCGGATGCGTTACCATAAATTATCAGCACCTGTCACTGTGAATTGAGTTGCTATAATCCATATCCTCCCTATCCCCCTCTCTCCCAAAAGAAAAAAATCATTTCAGTGGGTCTTACAGCAGCTCTAAGCCTGCGACCACTTCGGGTGCTTTACTTTCCTACATCTTCCTCTCCCCCCCCTCCTCCAATATTATTCTGAATTGTTCCTATCGTCCATCTTTTCAAATTCTCCTCACCATTAAAACATTTATTGTCTGCCTCTGCTTCTTTTGCCTTCTAGTTTTCCATTGAAAGCTTGATTTTCAAAGCCTTTTTGTCCCCTTCCTTAAATCAAAGGCGACTTAACATTACATTCACACACTGAAGCATGTCTCTCTACTTCCACAGAACGCGGGTGTACGGGTGATGCCGGCAATCCCTCGACTCAAGCTGACGCCGCTGTCCCTTGGCAAGTCTATCTCCAAAGTGGTATGTGATCATTCGTTATGTTTCCAACTGGCAGGAGGTTTGAGGCTGCCTCTTGTAGCTCTTAGTTCTTTGCTCTACCTTTGGATTTGTTTGAGTTTTTTGTTTCTTTGTTTGGGTTTGTTTTGTTTTTTTCTGGAGGGGTGGGTTTTTTCTCGTGTCCTTTTTGCGGATACCATGTTAGTAATCTTATTCGTATCAGACAATCATTGACTATGAGAAGATGAATGAGAAAGTACAATGATATTTCAACTCTAAAATAGAACAATAAGAGAATATAAATACCAATGTTTATTTGGTAGCGTTTGATTATTTAATTCGTTAGTGCTATTTTCTAGCTTTTATCGCCTATTCTAGCTCCCTCCATTACCTCCTTTGTTTGGTTGTTTCTTTCTATCTACCTTGTGTTTTCTAAGCACTTCATGGCCATTTTTTTTCTCTATGTTTTACTTTAAAATTGTAATAAAAATAGGCACTTCACAATAGAATAAAATTTTGACCCCTTACACGCTGACAGGTATCATGCAAACTAGCTCATTCATTGTTCAAGAATCATGTTTTCAAATACTTATGCACTGGTAACATACCAACAGGTTTGTTTGGACGAAACACATGCACAAACTGACAATCACCTCGGTATCAAATTTGCGCTGTAAAAAAAAAAATTATTGTCCTGTCTGTGTTCATCAGCTGTCAGAAGTGTCCGGGGAGGCGGGGCCTGTGACGCTGGAGGTGGAGAACAGCCTGGAGGTGGGCGTGGCCAGACTGCACCGCCTGAGACTACTGCGAGGGGGCCGGCCCGTCTGGGAACACATGCTGACCTCGGAGGTCGCAGAGGTCGTTGGCTCAAGGTGGGTGCGGGAGAGAGAGAGGGAGAAGGATGAGAGAGAGAGTTTGTAACAGATGAGTCTATCAATGTTTCAGCTATGCCTGTGGTTAATTTTAATTTGGAAAGGGAATTTTATAATGCAGGGATGCTGTTTTTCAGTCGTTTTTTTTTTTCCTATTATTTCTTTTATTTTCTGTGAAATCCATTTTTTTATTTTTTGCATTTGTGGTCTGTTTTAGTTGTGTATTTTTGCTTGTAAATACAGCTTTGTACATTTTCAGTTATTTTCAGAAAACCCCTGTGGCGTCGCTGGTTTTGATTTTGAAAGTTTTTCTTGCCTTGTGATTTCCCCAGGGAGGTTGTTTGTGCTGCCTGTGTCAATGGGACTGTCTCGGTATTCAGTATTGGAGGTCGGAGGTTATTGCCGGCCTTGGTCATAGGCTCCAGCCCAGCGGTGCTTGCTTGTTCAGGGCATCACGTGATGGCTGTCAGCGACAAGGGGCAACTGTTTGTATGGTCAGTACGGGTACCTCTTTTTTCTGGGAATTCCTAAAATGTCCTGAAAATGTGCAATACTGCAGAGTTTTGGCTCTTTGACTCTCTTTCTGGGTGACCAATTTTAAAATTATTTTTTTTTACCCTCATGTGCACATGATAAATAATATATGTGGCACAGCATGGTGGAAGCGTCCGTTTGTCAATTTCTGGGCCTATGAAGATATGGTATAAACAGCTTTTTTAATTTTTTTTTTTTTAATGGAAAAAATATCCATCTATCTTATAGAAGTTGAGATATTTGTGATTGAAGGAGGTGGGGGCCGCTTGGTGTCAGAGGTAAAATTAACAAGAAAAAGGCTACGAAAGTTTGGTGACTTCCTTAGCTTGAGCGACCTTGTGAACTGCAAATTTATATTTTTGGGGCCTTTGAATGTTTTTCAGTAATATCTGTGCAGAAATGTGCTTTTAAATGGACATAAAAGGTGTTGAGCTGGGAAAAAGAAGGGGAAAAAAAAATCAAAATTGCCCAGTGGGTTGGAAAATGTCAACGTCTTCGATTCTGTTATTTTGATGAGCGTTCTGATTTCACCATGATGCCACACATATGGTGTAAAGTCAGAGAAAAGACATAAAGTAAAGGATTAAAGGATTTTATGATTTTCATAGCACTGGGAGGACTAGGCCTGATGTGCCGCTATTTTTGGGGAGATGCTCATGTCTTTTCTGTGATATTTTTCAGGAACTTCCAAACACTGCAGGCCACAGTCAAGCAGGAGTCTTTACTGGCTGTCATGTCAGGTGAGGAGGTGGGGGTGAAGAGAGAGATAGGGAGAAAAAGAAGAGAGAGAGACAAAGATGGAGGGGAGGGGGAGAGAAAGAGGGGGAGACAGAGAGAAAGACAGAAGGGGGGGGAGAGAGAAAGAGAGAGAAAGTGTGTTGTGTGTGCTGTGCATTTGTGAGACAGGTGTGTCCTGTAACTTTTTGTGGTAAGATTTCAAGCATGAAGTTGCATAACTGTTTCTGTGTTGGTGTACTTTTTATTAACGACTCAAACTCCTGTGCAGAAAAAGGCAGCACGGAAGGGGGGCAGGGGGGAAAGAGAGAGATTGTATTGCTTAATTATTTACTGGGCATGTGAGATAAGTGTGTCCTGTAAATTTATGCAATAAAATATTTTTTGACATAATGTTAGATAACTTGTATATGTTGATGTGCTTCTGGTCAGACCTTATTGTGTTGCAAGTGCCATAAAACTGTTACTGAAACTAAAACTCCCAACTCCTGTGCAGAAAAAGATAGCTTGGAGCAGGCTACCGTGACCAGCGAGGGAGTCCCTGTCATCACACTGGCCAATAGGAAGTCATACTGCTACTCCGTGGACATTGGCTGCTGGTGAGTGTGTGTGTGTATGTGCCCGCACTTTTAAGTGTTAGAAATCGAAGTTTTCCTGAAGAAGGTGAATGCGACATGGATTTGTAATGGTGATTTTTCAGTAGTTCTCGTCTCAGTAATTTAAGCCTCATTCTGACTGATGGCACCACTTTTTTTTTTACTCACAGGATCCTGGCCCAGGAGCCAGACGACCGTCTGCAGGCTAGCTCCGCCCACCATCAGTGCACACCGACGAGACTCCGCCCCCTGGGACCTTTATCTTCGATTCAGAAGTCTTCCAGGTAAAATGTTTGCTGTTACGATCTACAACTGATTGTTTCTCTGAGACTGAAATAATGATTATAGTGAGCATAATTGCATTTAAATAGCACATATAGCCATGCTCTACAGCTTGCTCTATGTGCTTTACAACTATTTTTACCTCAGCAGACCCATGAACACTAACAAACATTCTCGGCTTCCCAGGAAGCTTACAGTATAAGCATCAGGTTTTGCTCAAACATTAACAATCTGACAAGATCTTTTGCTGTTTATGTAGGGGTGCAGTACCTGTTCTCACTTATGGGAAGTGAGAAAAATAAGTATAAAAAAGTGCTTTTCCCCTTGTGTTGTTGTTCCTTTCTCTTACTTATTTGATTGAGATGGACCGAAGTTGTTTTTTTATTATTGTTGTTGGCATGTCTTTCAGCCCAGTGTCTTGTAGGTGGACCACCCAAGGTCGGAGGGCACCCATTGTTTGTCCCTACTTCATTTCTTTTCTTCTGTTGTTTCTGTCTGTAATTTTTACTTTTTTACCAGTGTTTAATGGCCTTTATTTTGTTACCCTGTTTCTTCTTTCTCAAACAACAAACAAACGTAAGTGGACAAACATAGGTCATTTAAGGAAATTTTAACCAGAGGTGCCTATTATCTGGATTTCTGAAATTGTTCAGATTTTGTATTAAACTCTTGCTTATAAATTTATTTATATTTCAATTTCTTTTACCATTCCACTTTGCACATTATATGAAAATAGTGTTTTATTTAAGGTGCATCAGACAATATGTTCCATTAATTCTGAGCCCTTGAGAGCTTTGATTCCACAGGGTCTTTTCCGAAAAAATTTTCATAGCCAGTTGACACCTTTTTATGAAAAGTTTAGAAAGTTTGTGTTCTTATTTTAGATGTCTTTTTTCTTCTGCAGTTGGCTCACAAATCTTCACAATAGCTTGCTGGGGCGGTCCGTTGTTCCAATGTCCCATCTCTGTCCTATCTAGTAGAAGGCCATATATACATAAACACATTTGCATTGTTGATTTCTTGATCTAACATCATACAAGGAATTTTGCTTATAAACTAATAGGAAAACAAAGAAGAGATATTATTAGAGTTCTTTTGTACGACAGTACAGTCCATTTTAATGTCAGCCATATTTTTACCCATTTACGACTTGCCGTCCTGCAACAGGCCCAGCGACCAAGCCTCTCGCTCCTTCCAGTCCGTGCCGGCCATGAGGCAGTCGGTGACCTTGAGCCACCTGGAGTCTCAGATGGCCACCAGCCTCGTTCTCAAGTCGGGCAGCGAGTGGAAGTTCTGGCTGGAGACCTACATTCGCTACTTGGCCCAGGAGGGTGAGTGCAGGCTGCTGGTGCTGG